ATTTCTCTTCAACTTTCTACCCCCAAAGTTGTTGGTGTATAATTCATGTTATACATAGTATATAATCTACATCTAAAATAAATTAAATAAATTACATTACTGATTACTCAGTGTTTATCATAAAACATTTTTTTTAAATTTCACGTACCCCCTAAGATGTCTTCGCATACCCCCGGGGGTACGCGTACCCCAGGTTGAATACCACTGGTCTACGTCGTACAGAAGTCATACGCACTGTTCATTTAAGTTACACAGTTTAGGGATATACAGCTAAGAACAAAATGGAGAGGATATACTTATTGATGCCACAAAATATCAAAATCCGCCGATTCCGGGGTCCACACACAAAGATCGCTGGTTAAAATCCCAGTATCATAAAGAATTTTGACTAATTCTTGGTTTCTTTAACGATTCTATATTAAATGCATAGGTTTTGCTACATCGAATAACAAACAGATTAACTTAAAAAAATTAGGAATAATGGGGACTGTAGCGATTATGGTAAATGTAAGAAAAATCTCATAATTTTCTTGGATGAACTGAACAAAACAAGAAGCATCAACTCGTCTCCAGGTCGACATTAGAAGCCGGCTTCATCTAATGCGAATAAGGTGCACTAAATAGAACAATTTGTGGTGTGGATTGCAGTCCTCGTTTCCTGCCTTACCCTATGTTGTCTTGTACCGATAGATGATGCCTTGTGACTGGCTGATGCTCCACCCTCGTAGTCCCATTTGTTTGAAATAATTCGCCTCAGAATCAGTTCAGAATCTAAACACGATAAAGGACTAAATCCATGAAAGCTGCAGAATAAAGTAATAGGGTATACACGCTGAGAAATCATTAGGTCTGTACAGTTACATGGATCACCTGTTGTAACGTTAACAAATTTGGCATTTAGCAGACAGGACATATTTACGGGTTTCTTTTGGTTTTCAGAATAAACAGAAACTTTTTCTAAACATCATTAAACCTGTAAACCTTGTTACAGAGAAGCGGTATGTTTTGATGGATGTAAATTCCAGTTTCATGGTTTCTTCTTCGAAATTCTGTGACCTGCGTGTGATACATGACAGCCAGTTCCCTGTTTCAAATCCAGTCGATTTTCGTGGAAACCATGCGGGTACTTTTTAACTTCCTGTCGTCAATATCAATATGGCCGCTTTACAGACTTCTGAGGCGGAAACTATATTGGATGGGAAGATTTCAGTCTTCTGGGTTGTTGCGCTGTGTAGTCTGGTAGATGTTTACCAATGTTTCAGAGATCATACTGCGATTCATCGCCCTGATGACGGAGGCAGTATGACCTCTGAAACATTGGTAAACATCTACCAGACTACACAGCGCAGCAACACAGAAGACAGAAATCTTCATACTCGCCGCTATGAAAACCTCAAATCTTACATATATTGGATGGCTTTAGATACATAACACAGAATTTCTGCAGGCCTACTATATTAGGATCTTCTATCACCACCTTTGTAGTGGAATTAGCAGCAGTTATTGAAGAACACAGTCATTCTGTAGGTGACTTGCTGAAAACCAAAATCAATAATAGCCTCTTTCTTGTGCCAAGACAATAATCTTAACCTTTATTCACCAAAGGACGAAAATTCAGCGGGAACGAAAAGACAGATAGAGAAAAATAAATAGTGTATACTAACATAATATGCAGTGTGGTCTCAGTGATGTTTATGTTGTATTTTTTAGAAAAATGTTCAAAATGAACATGATTATATGAACACAAGCACTCCGAAATAATTACTCGTCTTCAGGACTCATTTTTTATCGTCGGAGTGGATTTAATTGCACAATTTCTTGATATGAAATATCTTCTGTCATAATTAGAATATGTAAGTTATTATAACTAAGAAACCTAAAACCTGCTACTTTCGGAGGAGAATTCTTTAAGTATGTATTTTATTAGATATTTTTGCGTGTGTCCCTTTATTGAGTTAATCAAACAATGTTAGATTATGTCCTCATTGTATAATTTAACGCATTCGCTACTGAGATTAACTTAAGTTCGAGTGATGACTCGAGGAAGTAGTCGTGACCTATTTTATATATTCATTCCTCTATTATTCTTGAAGACGCCGAAACACAAAAAGGTTTTCAGTTGGGTGTATCAGTGACTGCAAGTCTTTGTTATACCGAAACTTGGCAAATATGTACACGGTAAGTAATCTGCTATTACACACAGATCTAACTCCACGGAGCAGAGTCCTTCTTCAAAAGCTGTTAGCCTTCCAGACAATCAAGAAATTTATTGCATTTTATGGATAAAGAATGTTCATTACCGTGATCACAATAGCCCGTCATGAGATAGGCAAATCCAGTTCACTGTCCTCCCTGATTTCCTTATCCACCCATCAACGCCAAAGTCTTTCGAGCGGTATTTTCTCTTTAGGATTTTCAACCAAAATTGTGTATGCATTTCCAATTTCCTCATGCATGTCACAAATTCGAAAACCAAGCGTGTTATAAATTGAATCCTTACAGTAAAACATGCAGTCTGAGAGCATGCAGGCAAGAATTTTGAATGCTTTCCAATCTTTAATGACTTTTAAGCATAAACAGTGCGTGACCTTAGAACAGGGCTTTATCTCCCGTTTCAAAGTGACCGAAGTTTTGGACTATGTACCCCTTAAGGAGGCAACATTTCTTGGGTGCGAAATTTCTTAATATTCTTGAGGTCAAGAGCCATAGGTCTTCAAGTTGAAGATTATAAATATTTGATTCCCAGTACGTTTGATTTTACACGGAAACGGTGATGTAATGAATATTCACAACTATATCTCTAAAGCAGTCTGGTTCGGGATCAGACTCTAAAATAAGTCAAGTTACAGAAGTTCAACTATCGAACATCAATGCATACGAATGAAGCTGTTACATACTTAAATATTTTAATAACGCCAGTTCGAACGACCAAATCAGACGGGCCTACATACGATTGCAGTGGGCAGCATTTTGCAGCCTAATACACGGGAAAAGTACTTCTAAAAATCTGCATATTGCACAGTGGAAATGCTGTCCAAGACACAGAAACACGCCGACAAAACCTTCCCTGCTCTGTGTTCCTCTACATCTTTCTTGTTAGGCAGTTACCAATGGTATGGTATTGCGACACTGAGGAGCTTAACGAAAGAGATCAGATCAAGGCGGATGAGATTGGGGTCACGTAGCACGCATTAACGCTATAGGAATCTGCTCTGCACCTTTCTTTTTTACATAACAAGAACAGGCTAATAAGGCTTCTCATTTTATCTTTCGATGGGAGGGATTAAGAACTGTTTGCATCAAGAATAAGTTTCTGCAGATAACTCGTAATTACCGGAACAACCTTGATTAAACGCCTAATAACACATCTTACGTTACATTTCCTATCTAATCAGAATTTTTGATTCGAAGCATCTGCAAGATACTGATACTTTGTAGCTGTATCATTATTTAGGCATATTTCAGTTGCAGGTTGCAAGACTAAACGCCTAGTTTTCACACAAATATTACTGTGCAGGAGTAGTTGCTCCATCGTAAACTTCCTGAAATTGGCGAGGAAAATGCTTTAATGTACATATGTTACGTTTTCGTATTCTGTAACGTAAATAAACCGATAATGGAAATAATCTTCACTGCACAAAAGAATTCGCAATCTAAAATCAATAAAACAGCACAATTATTTAAAATATTATTCTCGAAACCGGCTATAAAAAAGAAGTTTCGATTGTTTCTCTTGCTGCTACTTCCAGCAGCCCAGAGGACAGCCATAATCTAATTCTGGGCCTTTAACTGTGTAAAAGTGTTACAAATAGCGGCAAAATAATTTTGAGTTTTCTTCTTGTTAACCCCAGCCTAGAATGTACGATTCATTTCAAGCGCACGAAGTGCTGCGCAAACAGCTGGGACTTCTTAATTTTGTATCCACGACCAAGTTTGCACTAGAAACAAATAAGAAGGTAAATTTCTATACCAAATTTAGTAATATAACGAAGGATTTCACACATTCACAGACAACAGAGATAAGGTAGGACTTATAGCGAATATATTCATTTACGATAAAAATTGGCGATTTTTACTCGATTTATTCACCATTATCACCGCCTTCTCTTACTGAATCCTCGGTACGTCGTCCTTGACCAAACGCTGCCTTCAGATCAGACTTCAGAAAGTGAATACACTGTGCCTTGCAATGTTAGTGAACTTTGTCACTAGTTGTTTGGTTTTCTCATCGAGCTAAATAAACTAGCCTCAAAGAAAGTAAAAAGGAAAACAAGAAAGGAATATACGAGAAAGAAAGAATGAAATAAATAAACAAGCCTTTGAAGGTAAGTGGAGCTGAGCAAATATCAATTCCTCAATGATTTTGACGGAACAGCAGAGAATCCGAAAATATAATTAAAATATTGAAAAGTAAGGAAATATATGCACAGCGTAATAATTCTGGCGCATTAGTTCTGCAATTGCTTCCCAATGCTAACTTCTGATGCTTTCTTATACCAGAGTAAAACAAATGGGGCGGTTGAATAAAGGAGGACCTCCAACGAGGATTTTGATCAAAATCAGACCAAAGGCTCTCGAGTTATCAGATGCCAGTTCAGTTCAATTGGATCCATACCGAAAATGGTAATATCCATGACATGTTCTTTTTATAGAATATATTCTGTACACATGCAACTCGAGAGTTTGTGGACGGATTTTCATGAAACATAGCACCAATTCTGATTTTGTTCAACATCGGAAAACAGCATCTGGCGGCCATCCACAAAGGTCAGAGGTCAAATTTTGGCGAGTGAGTGGACTCGACAAAGGTCAGAGGTCAAATTTTGGCGAACGTGTCAGAATTGTTACATTTCCTAACTTCTTTTTTATTAGTGAGTGGACTCCAAGACCGTTCATTATAATAATAGTAATATTAATAAAACTACCATTTTTATGCTATTTATGTGTCATTGACGAGACAATTTTCACAAACTTTTCAATAAATAAAGTAATTACATATGCATTTTGATTATCGCTGATACAGTACTGATGTAAGAAATCCGTAAATGTAATGCTGGTAATAAACTTACTGTGCGACTCTCCAATTAGTCTAATTTGTTATAATAATTAATTCGTTCTTTGGCTCAAAAAATAGAAGTCTCTGCTGTGCGGTTTCAGGATCGTATTATAATTGACTGGAAAAGCTCCCATTTTTCAACTCAAACCGTCCAGTGGGTAGACATAGATGTTCCAATAACTAAGAAGCTTAAAACTTTTATGGTCGTACCAATGACATTTTGCTTCAACATGATTTTAAGTCTGCAGGACTATGAAGATGAAATGACTATGAATATATAATATAATAAACAAAGAAAGAAAGGACACAAAGTAGCATAGTAAAGAGAACAGAAAGAATGAAACAAATTAAATAAAGTTCTTAAACGACCGAATTCGTGAATTTTGTCGGATTAATCAATACGAAAATGTATACTTGCTGACAATCTTGAAACATGGCCTGTCTCTTTTCTAGTCTCCGGGATTGTTAATTCTTATACATAACATGAGTCCAATATTCTTTCCAAACAATTGATACATTAAATTGGTCGAAGAGAAACGTGTGTTAAAAGTTAGGAAACCTTCGGGCGCGGTCTTTCGAGATCAATGTTTGTAATTCGAACTTTATAGTTCTGCAGCATTGCGAACACTCCTAAAGCCACGTTTCCACTTGGGAGCACCAGGAACTTGATCGTTAAGTTTTAAAGGAGCACGTCAGCAAGGCGTCGTATCCTGCCCAGTATGTTCGATGAAACAGGAAATGGTTCTGTAATCAACGACATAGGAACGCGTCTAATGGTCCCTCTACGAACCTTATCTGCTGTGCACACGTGTTTAGTTTCCTGCAAGGCACTACGACTTTCAGTTATTCTTCTCTGTCAACTTGACGTTATTCGCCAGCCTATATACGAGAAACGCAAAACCTGCTACGGAGATTTATGCTCATCCGATCGCGTTGTTCAACTGCTGATGGACCAATCGAATTCATCATACCGTCCAATATTTATTCGTAAGTAGAATGTAAAACAGAACGAATTATTCGATTTTCATTAGGATTTTAATTCGAATGGCGAGAATCGAATTAAATCAGTAGGATTTAAGGTTTTCACGGTTGTGAGTCTGATGATGGCTGTCTTCTGGGTTGTTGCAACGTGTAGTCTGGCAGAAGTTTACCGACGTTTCAGAGGTCCTTGGTCCTTCCATCATCAGGGCCCTGCCTTTGCCGTACATAATTTAAACAGAATGCATAAAGTTATTTCAGGTAAAAGTAAAAGTAAAGTTTGTCCCACTATACGCCATGTAGGCGTTTGGGGTGAGTGGAGGTATAGCTCCTCTCTTCCTTGACCTCGGCACTAGATGGGGGTGAGTGGTCAGCATCACGCCCCGGCCGGCTTTACCCCCGGGAAAGGACCCCGGTACCCATTGTAGAGGAGGCTGGGTGGGCCCCAGAGCCGGTCTGGACGCAGAGGCTAGAGGAAAAATCCTCTGCCCCCGTCGGGGATCGAACCCCGGTCGTCCAGCCCGTAGCTAGTCACTATACTGACTGAGCTATCCCGGCTCATAAAGTTATTTCAGGTATAATACATTAATAATTACGCATCTGCATGCAAATGCTAGTTTCTTAGTTTATTTAACAAAGTTTTCTCAACTGCATATTTTATGAAGCAATGGGTGTTGAAATGGGAAGGCGGGGTCGAAGTATATACGTACTATCCACACGTTTGTCCGAGGGCCTGCGAAATCCACCAAAAACATTTGTACAGGTCCTGTAATTAAACATCTATTTACATATTCATTTATACTAACGCCACTTTATAAAGAGCATTCGTTATGTTTTACAAATAAGATGACGATATAATAATGAATTCTGAACAGAAAATTTATGCATTTAATTGCGTTTAATTCAACGACACTGTCGGCAGCTCATACTAGGCTACACGCGTCGAATAACAAGATGATTAATGAATAATGCAATTTAAAGGTTACGGAAAGAAACGGTAATGGTCTAATTAAAGGTAATTTACCATCCTGCCATTTGCGTTGACAGTCTGAGGAAAGCTGCAAATAATCGTCAGAACAACTGGTCCGCAGGCCGAGATTTAAACCCGAGACCACCAAAATACGAAGCAAGAGGGCAAACTACAGCTGGTTTCATTATGAGCACAAAATGATGGAGATAGAATAATATCGTGATATATTCAAAGTTATTATATGCAGTACTTTAATGGAAATAATGAGGAAAATTACTACTAAAACTAAGTTTATCGGCAGCTGGGAAAAAAATTAGGAAGTATTAAACAAACACAATGCTTGAACAGACACAAGTATTTTTGAAGTCTGCACTCTGCTCTTTCCGACAATTTTAAACAAAAATCAACAAATCTGTAAAATATACGCCCTGTAAATTACAGCCAAAATAAATATAAGAGGATAAATATAGACATTATCACACTCAAAGAAAATACTCAAGTTCTGTGATCTGGAAGTGACAACTGCGTATAAATAGCCCCAGTGGATTGCAAGTAGAGACACTGTCCGTTACTATCCAAGAGGCTGTGATCCACTAGAAAACGACCGAATTTTGGCTTATATAGCTGATAACAAATTTCGTCTATTCATGGAGTCACTTCTTAATTCAATAGTTCACAAAGTCAATGTACTTGCTGTTACGGGCAATGTGCATTTTCGCCTGGAATGTCAAAGAAACAAAGGTGAATGTCTGAAAACACAATCACCAGCGCTTATTACGATTTGAACCCGAAAAGAAACCATACCAGGTTTAAGAAGCCGTCTTATAAACGAGATGGTTACGGTTTGTGTTGCTCTCAAAACAATGGCATATTGCTAGCCGACAACTGGATACATGCCAAAGAATGTGCTGGAGCAACCGGACAGTTGGCACCATTTCTTACTGCCAGGTAACTTTTTTTACGTAAATTTGGCACCAGGCCGCGACAGAACTCGGAACCCCTGCCCATGCTTCATACATTTGTTTAAGCGTACGATTTTCATACTTTGCCATTGCCTATGCAGAAAGCCGTACAATGCACACACTTTCTTTCTGCCGTTCCTGACATTGGTAACATGATTAGTTTATACTTACTTTACGATAAACGTAAAATGTAATGTTCTAAGGGACACGAATTTATGCACCGCAATCATCATTTGTAGACTTTCTGATAAAGCACGGACGGCAACAAAATGTTTTGATCAGCACGCGCTGTGTTTACGTTATAATCGCTGGCTTTACAACTGACCAATCAGAATGAAATAGTACATTCGTATTTACATTCACATATAAACTTTATGATATTGTACGTCAGACACTTTGACGCTAAGAAGAAAGGTCAATATATTTACCATTTCGACACGGTGGTATTTAATAGGCTTACAGACCGCAGTGGAAATCGACAGTCTCACACGCTGCTTCTCGGTTTAGCAACCAGTCAAGTTATGACGGCCAAAAGCCAGACAACCAGTCGAGTTATGACGGCCAAAAGCCAGAAGTTTTGTGCTGTTTGTGGACCAACCAAACAACTGATTCATATTAAACTGTTACTGATTTTATTCATTTATGGACACTTGTGTTAACAAGCTTATTCGTAATGGACAGATCAAATAGCACGACTGCCTCTCAAATTTGCTTTAGAATATTCCATTAGGAAGGCCGAGGTAAAATAAGAAAGAATGGAGTTAAATGGGACCCACCAGCTTCTGTTGTACGCGTATGATGTTAATTTATTTGAGAAAAACATAAGTATGACAAAGTGAAACTCACGTACTTTATTAGGTATTAATATGTAGACTGGTTTAGAAACAAATGCAGAGAAAACAAAGCGTAAACCCAGTTTCATGCCACGTCACCAGAAAACAAAACATAATTAAAATAGTTCATGAGACTGAAGGTTTTCAGAGGACGGAAAATGCCCCTTACCGTCTGCTACCTGTATACATAAAGATTAAGGTTACTCAACTCTAACTTTAAACGTAAATATTTTGTTTGTGTAATAAGGAAATTTGAATTTACCGTGCCTAGCCGTAACACTGGATCCCCGTCACACCACCAACAAACAAGTCGGTGTTTAGGCAAAGTTCTTTCGTATTCTTTGCTATTTTGTGTAACAACCATCACGCCATTTTCAACTGTACAGTGTTTATTGTTGAAAATTATTTTGAAACGCACTTTCAGTAAGCTGCTGCACCAAATAAGTCAACTTTTTTCCAGTTGCAAATCGGCGAAGCCACTCTCCATAGAGTTTCTACGAATATGTCGGAACGGGTTGAGTTACGTCTACAACAGGGTGGGGTCACTTTTAACATATGTTGTGATTATAACATTAATATGCAATTATAATTATGCATAATAAACATTACATTCAACGTTGAGTTGCGTGAGCTTGGGATATGTTTCTTGTATGGGTGTGGAACCTGGTGCGTGTCCATAGAGGACAAATGACAACTAACAATCTGCCGGACCTACGAGAGAGGAAGTTAACATGAGAATGGAGAAAATTACATAACGAGTGTCAAAATGTTCACTACACATCAAATAGTAATAGGGCGATCAAATTAAAGAGCATCAGATGACTGTGATATTTAGGACAATGAGTAAAATTAGGAAATCGTACTATATTTTAATCGGAAAACTTGAAGGAAAGAGACCAGCTGTGCTACTTGGGCCCAGATGGGCAGATGATATTAAAATGCTTCTCAAAAGAACAGGATATGGAGTTACTAAACTGGCTCAATATGGGTTCCAGTTAAAGGTTCTTGTGAATAATCGAATTACATCTTCAGTTTCCATAAAGGACAGGGAAGTTTTCATCGAATTACATCTTCAGTTTCCATAAATGACAGGGAAGTTTTTGACTGGCTGACTCTGCTTCATACTGATAGTTTAGATTTGGGTTTGATTACTAATTCTAATTATTATTACTGGTGCTACTTAAACGCAATATAATGGCCGTTCTTAAGCTCAAACGGTTGAACGCCGACTTCTCATCGTGCACATTCGGGCTCGGTACCAGGGCAGGCGACGTGGAATTTGTGGTGGGGAAAGTTTTTCTTTGCGTACTTAACGATTTTTCCCGCCAAGCACCACTCCACCAATGAACCATATTCATCTATCATTGCTCCTGAGATTTGCAGTAGGCCTATTAACCACAACGTTATCTTAACCTCGGTCCTTAGTGTGGGTTTAACCTCTGACCTGGTACTCGGCTGGACTCTGAGTGGAATTAGTCATACCACACAAGCAACTTATAATACATATTGCATGTACCAAATCATCATACTCACATTAAATCAAGAATCTGTCACTAGGGTTCAGTACATAGACGATCTATTCGTCCATGACGAATGAAAACTCGTTGGAAAATAGAAAATTATCAATTCTTTAACTAATGACGTTTTTAACTATAGAGGTTGGAACAAGCGGAAGGAAGAGGTTATGGTTTATGAGCAGGTAGGTCTGCTATCCAAGGATTTGCCTGGAGGAACCACGGAAAATTGAGTAGGATTTGAGGTTGTCACGACGGCGAGTATGAGGGTGAAGATGGCTGCCTTCTCGGATTTCGGGCCGTGTAACCTGGTAGAAGTTTACCGAAGTTTCAGTGGTACTTGCTGCCTTCATCACCACTCATCGCCCTGATGGCGGTGGTAGCAAGAACCTCTGAAACGTCGGTAAACTTCTACCAGGTTACGCGGCACAACCCAAAAGACAGCAATCTAAAAAAAAAAATCTTGGAAAGCCGGCCTCAGGAGCGTCATTCAAATCCGGGATGTTTTGCACATGAAGGAGTTCTAACTATTCTTTCAGTATGTTCGATGGTAAAAAGTATTATATGCTACGTGTGTTATGTATAAATCTTGTACTTTATAACTGGACGTTCAGACCCTGACAAGTGAAATTTGTGACATCAGAAATCATGAAGCAACATTTTCTGACCCTCGGTACAATTCATGCTCCGAAGGGCAATTTTTGTTCCTGATCGAACGACTGAAATTCCG